AGTTTGGTATAGGTTAGGATGGGTAAAACTTTTGTACTGATGTGATTACATATGGATAGTGGAAATCATTTTGTATATGTGTTTGGCATAATGTTATTCTATGTGTTTCATAGATACACATCAAGCTCACACAAATCACACACACTCCACACATCACAAACACACATCACTACACATAATATTATATTTAATTATTATATATTTTATATATATTTTTAATATAATATAATTATATATTATACTGTTTATTTTATATTATTATTATTATTTTTATATATAATATATATATATTATATATTTTATTATTATATATATTACATATATATATACTATTATTATTATTGATGTTCTTGTTTTATTAATTTATTTCTATATTATACCTTATATATTATTAATTCTTTAATATCTTATTTTATAATATATTTCATTACTTATATATATATTATACTAGTATAATTATATAATTTTATTATATAAATATCTAATCTTCTATAATTTAAATTAGGTTTATTAAGTGTGGTGTGTTTGATGTTAGTACGTGTGTGTGTTGTCGTGTTTATATTGTGTGTGTGTGTTGTGGTTTCGTTTTGCGTCTTTTATATTATAATATATGTTTTATATTGTTTATATATTTATGTAGTATTATTATTATTATCTTATACTTATATTATATATAGTATATTTTATATATTATTTATATATAATAATATATATTGTAACTTTATAGTTGTAGTAGGTATTAAGACTATATATATGATATATAGTATACTATGTAGATCTATATTATTTATTCATATGTTATTATACTTTATTTTTATACTCACTGTATATAGATATGATGTATACTATCTATCTATCTATTCTATATATCAGTAAATATATATTATAGTATAGTGGTATATATTGTATATGTAGGTATATATTTATATATATTATATAATAATATATATAGGCTATATTGATATATATTAATATACTATATATATAATATATATACGTTATTATATGCTATCTATCTCTAGTCTATTCTATCTATCCTATCTATATTATATTATACATGACATTTATTATCCTATCTAATCTATTATTCTCTATCTATCTTAGGGCTCTAATTTCTAGTCTTATCGTAGTGATATACTAATATATATATATATATATATTATATAAGTATATACTAATATATATATATATATATATATATAGTACTATACTACTGTATACTATAATATACTATACATATAATATATAATCTACATTTATATATAATATATTTATACTAGTATAGCATATATATTTATCATATATTATATATATATATATAGGTTATATATATATTTATATACCTTTCCTTTGTAATAGTACTATTTATTTTATATATAATATTAGATATATATTATATACTACTATGTATACTCACAATATACTATATATATATAATATATATATTAATTTATAAGTATCCACTATACCACATAGCAAACCGTGTACACACACACAACAGTGCGACATGAGTGCGCAGTTGTGGCTCACACAGGCCGTCTGCAGCACTCACATATTATATTGACCATATATATATATTATTTATATATATATATATATATATATATTATTATACTATATTTATATATATATATACTATATATATATATATGATATATATTATATACTAATATGTGTATGATGTAGCTACCTAAATATTATACACATATATAGATATATACCCACACACACACACACACACACACACACAACACACACAACATCACCACACACACACACCACAATATATATTATATATATATATAATTATATATATATAAGCATATTTATATTTATTGTTATCATATATATAAACACACACACATATACATATATGTATATAATGTATATTATACCTAAAGATATACAATATATACCTCTTCAGTCTATAATATATATACTATATAAATATATATATATATTATATACATATATATAATGGTAATCCTATTTATATTTATATATATATGATTTATTTTGATAATAATGCGTGTATGTGTATATTATACATATTTGTGTGTATATTAGATCAGCATATATATATGTAATATATTATTTTATTATTTTTATTTATATAGTAGATATAGTATTATATATATATATTTATATTATTATTTATTTTTTACATTATAATATATATTTTATATTATTATTATTATTATATATATTGTATATTATATTATTATTTTAGGGATATATATACTAGTAAGGGTATTATATGTAGCGCATATGAATAGGTAAGTAGTATAGTAGTGAGTATATAGTATTAGTATATCTATATAAGCGTGAATATATATATATATAGTATATGGTATATATATATGTACGATATATGATACTACTATAGGATTATATATAGTATAGGCATATACTATATTATAGTACATATGCCAACACAAACACAATCGACACAACCGACACACAGACACAGGGGGGCACACACAGGCGTGGCACTCGTAAATACAGCAGTAGTAGTAGTTGTTGTTGTACGAGTATAACTGATATAGATATCTAATGATAAGTTGTAACACTTACTAATATATAGTTGTAAGGTAGATGTACTCTAATGATAATGATCGTTGTAGTGAGTTGTAAGTAGTCGTATCGTAAGTCGTGTAGTAGTCAGTAGTAGTATAGCAGCAGCAAGCAGACATAGTGCTACAGCAGCAGCAATAGTAGTGAGTAGTGAATAGCGGCAGCTGCTGCAGCAATAGTTACAAATGGAGGCAGAAGATAGTAGTAATTTGTGGTTGCTGTTGTAGTAGCCAGAACAGTGGGTGTTTGTGTGTTGCTCTGTATAAGTCTCTTATATGTTTGCAGCGTACGAATAACAGTTTACAGAAAAGGAAGCACTACTACTCTTATCGGGAAAAATTAGTAATTCTGAAAATAGCCAAAAAAGAAGAAAATTAAGACGATGATGTAGAAGAAAAACACTAAATATTGGAGTGTATATCATGTGCATGAGAAACATGATGCGTACTTATAGATCCACCTGTATAGACCTTACCTTTATAAAGTAAGACATTTGGTGTCTACAGAATGTAATTACGTGACCATCTGTATCAGTTTTTAGCTACGGTTATTTTATATTCACGTAGTATGGCAGGAGATACTCTATATAATTAACGAGATCATTGTTTTCCATCGTAAATACATCAGGGATTTTTCAATGAATTTCTATGTTTCAGGGTACATTTACGAGTGTGTCAAGTGCACGGTGTGATACGATTATGTGGAATTGGCTTGCTGTTTGTGTGGTCCGGGCTGCGGTGACCGGCGTTCTTTATGGTGTCATGTGTACGAAATGACTTGGAATGGAATGTTGTGGTAATTGTGTTTGCATGTGTATGTTTCGCAGGCACAGGAGGTGGAGGAAATGTACCGGAAAGAGTTATGTACTCGTAAAGAAATTTAAATAAAATAGTTGCGGTTGTGTCTGGACGGTCAGAAAGAGAAGAAGAAAAAATACAAAAAAAATGATACTTAAACTAAAACTGATCATACATATGTATATTATTCTTTTAAAGCAAAAATACTTTTCCAATATCATTTGTTAGTTCAAAAGAAGACTATTAACAATATTTGCCGAATTGGCAAAAGCATCTTTATATATAATATCAAAAATGAAATGTAATTACGTGTGGGAAAAATACTTTAATAGTTAGCAAAAAATAATTTTAGCGAGGCTACGCAACAGTCTCGCGTATGTTAATTAAATTCTGGACCAATTATCATGATGAAAATGGTCGTCCTGTAGGTAGTCAGGTACTGTTTTTTTTATCATGAGTTGATGTTATGAAATATTTCTTTCTGAATTTATTTTCAGCTTTTCTTTCGAGTTTATTTCTTCGTCTGTGTATTACTATTATCATTATTTTTAATCAGAACCTCTATCGGTATTGATTATCACTGTTTATCTTAAGTAATTAAATATAAATTAGTGCAGGAAATATTTTATGGTCTTTAAATAAATTGACGATCAATGAAAGGTTAAATCCTTCCCGTTCAAAAAAGATAAATGAATAAACATATAAAGCATAAATGAATAATCAATTTTCAGTAATGATTATATCCCCTTCGCGTTACATCACAATACAGGATGACAACTGCTATTGTTCTAGAGTACCGTTGTAAGCGCCACGAACCCTGAATCTTCCCGTACGTGCGTTTCTCGGGTGTGAATGATCAGTCTATAAAAGGACGTAGTTGAAATTGTGATATATTTGATTTTCCAGGGGATCACCGAAAGACCTATCGTACCTGAAGGCTAACACAGCGTAGTCGCCATATTTTGTTGACGAGGTCCTTATGAGACAAAATTGCCGGTCTCTGTGAAAACCACTGACTTCAAACCGTTTTTCATAGGACGTAGATTTCGTCGACTGGTAACAGTGGTTCTAGGAAAACCATCGAGCTTAAATTGTTTCTCAAAGGACATAGATTTCGTGGACGGTGATTATTATAAAACCATCGTTTAAACTGTTTCTCATAGGAAGTAGATTGCGTAGACGGGTAACAGTGATTCTGAGAACACCACCCAGTATATAACTCGCGTTGTCTCATAGCGAACGTGATTTCGAGGAAGGGCTATTCGGATACCCCAGATTTACTCCTCCCCGGTTCCATTCCGCTTCAACAACGCTCATGGATGAAGGACTGTATACAAGGGCATAACACCAATATATTTCCATCCCCGCGATTCCTTCTGAATGTTATTTATGATGGGTAATTCGTATTTCAGCATAATGCTAATGCCATTCAACTCCTGCAATTGAAAGCGGGACGTGTTATCGGGGCGGCGAAGCGTCAGCCACGGAATTGTATATGTCATGCTGGTGATGGCCAGAGTTTCACTGCTTCTCTTCTGTGGCGAATGCAGGAGTCTATTCACGAGGAGTCCACCGGAAAGGTGTGACGCATTATCAGACACAGATTGATGGGATCTTGTCAGGTGTCCCATGTACACGGGAGTATTAGGGGAATGGTGAGAGTGTCATGTGTCGTCACTATGGAATATTACGGGGCCGTGCAACCATGCAGCAGTTCCTGGTGTTTTTTTTTTTTTTTGTGTGTATGTTGTGGTGCGGTGTGGGTGTGCGTCGGTATAGCTGCTTACTGTTGTAGGATTATTACAGAATCATAATTCATCGATTGGAATTAACGCTATTATGATATATAGAAGTCTAAAGACGATTATCACTAATTTATATCTATAGTTTAATTAAGGGTAATGTTTTGAATTAATTACAGTATGTATGATTATTTAATCGTAAAAAGGCATTTTAGGAAAAGTATTAGTAATATAAATGATATCATGACAGTGATGATAAGTCTATCTATACTTCAATCTATGTTTTGATCTATCAGTGCTAATCAATCTATCTATCATGTCTGTGCTATGCTATTCTAGTCTGATGTCATCTATCTTTCTACCTAATATTATGTTTTACACACACCACACACACACACACACCACATCACACGACAACACACACATATCATACACACAGCAGCGCACACACACGCACAACACACACACACACACACACACAACACACACACACACCACACACCACACTAATATATATAAATGTAATATAGATATATAGTATATGTTATAGGTAGGTATATATTATATATATATATAAGTATATGCAATACACCACACAGATAAGATAATTTATATATATATTATATATATTTATATATTATATATATAATATATATATATTATTTATATAGTGATACTATCGAAAAATTTACATATATACAAATTATGTAATTATATATATATATATTTATATATATAGGTATATATATATATATATATGTAATACTATATGATTGAGTGTACCTATATATATAACTATATTATAGTATATAATATTAGTATATATATATTATATATATTATAGTATATACTTATATGTATTATAATGTATTATAATATACATTTAAATCTAAATACATATACTGAATAATATTATATAAATGTAATATTTATAATTACCTATATCTATCTATTCCTATCTATTCCTATCTATCCTATTTATCTAATCTATCGTATCTACTATCTTATATATAATACTGTGTGTGTGTGGTGTGAGTTGTTTATGATGTTTGTATTGTATATACATATATATATTATATATATATATAATAGTTATTTTATATATATATTATATACTATATATATTTATATACATATGTATACTATATTGATAATGTATTAATATAATTATAGTGCATTCACATTTCATATTCACTTTCACAACATAGTATATCATATATATCTATATATATATATATATATATAATATATATAGTATTATATATATACTATATATTATAATATACTTGTGTTGTGTGTTTGTGTTTGTGTGTGTGTGTGTTGTTGTGTGTGGTTGTGTGTGTGTGTGTGTGTGGTTGTGTGTGTGCCGTGTGCGTGCATGTGTGTAATTAATTAATTATATAGAATAGTAGTTACTGAAAGACGATGATAGTTAAATGAATAACATATGTAAAATGTATATTGTATTGATGAAAATATTAATAATTTTGATGATAATAGAAATATATATAATGAATAATATTATACAATAATGATAACAATTATAATGTAAATAATGATAATAGTAATAAATGATAATATCATTACTCATTAATTAAATGATTACTTTCTATTAATGATAATGATAATAATGATAAAAGGAAAATTATATATGATAGATAAGTAAATTATAAATAATCGTGATAGAGATACTAGATATAAGTAAAGTAAAAATATGATACCATGGTTATGCTCGTTCGCCGCCACTTTAAAATTAGATCTTACCATTTCAATCTTCTCAAAATCTAACCTCACACCTGCATTGGGATACCGTAGCGTGATTGACAAGGATTTTTTTTTCCTTTTTCATATATAAATCCCTTGAAGCACTTGAGGGAAAGAGGGAGAAATTGATTTTGCAGTATATTGCCTTTCTTATTTTCTTGTCTCTCTCTCTCTCTCTCTCCGCTTCTGTATTTCCCTCTGTTCTCGCTGCATGTATTTACTCTTCCTTTCTCTTATCTCTGTCTCGTCTTTTTCTCACCTCTTCTCTTTCTCTCCTCAGATCTCTTCTCGTCTCTCTCTCCTCTCTCTCCTCTACTCTTCTCTCGTCTCTCTCTCGTCTTCTCGTCGTTTCTCTCTTCTCTCTCTCGTCTCTCTTTTCTCTCTCTTCTCTCCTGCCTCCTCTCTCTCTCTAAATACCATACTCCAAAAAGAGTGATCATATATATATATTATATCAATATCATAATTTCCATTTCTACCTCTCTCTTTCTCTTTACTATATATAACCTGAATTCTTATCAAAAATCATTTTTTTACTCTCCTCTTTCACTTCATTTCTTTTCTTATTTCTCGTGGAGGCAAAGGTTATGAAGAATGGATCGAAGGCAAAAAAAAAAAAAAAAAAAAAAAAGATTTGAAAAGAATAAAGGATTTTTTTGAAATAAAAAAATTGAAGCAGAAGAAAAGAAGGAAGAAAAAAAGAGAAAGAAAGAAAAAAAAATCCATAAAAACGGCTTTCGGCGATAGGTCGCAGCTAACGTTTCTCTAAGGTGTGCGATTAATTATGGTAATGTGACATTTCAGACTCGGAGACTTAAGAAAAAACTTGGGCACAGGGAAAGTTTTTGTGAAAGCTTCGCGCCAAAGAGTCAAAAACAATGAAAGGAAAGCAAAGGTAAGATAATTTGTCTGATCTCTTGAAGACGATCGAAGTACAGGTTTGTTTTGTTAGTTTGCCTTTTTTTTCTGAATTTCATATTTAATATTATGAAAGTAAGTCATGTATTCTTTTATGTCTCTTCGTCTCTCTCTCATTTTTCCTCTTCTCTTCTCTCTCTCTCTCTCTCTTCTTATACTATCTCTGTTCTCTTCGTCTCTCCTTCTCTCTCTCTTCTCTCTGTCTCTCTCTCTCTTCTCTATCTTTCTCTCTTTCTCTCTCTGGCTTACTGCTGTTCTATATTATTATTTATATATATATAGGTATATTTAACTATATATACGTTTATTCATCTATATATATATATAATACTATATATATATAGTATACTATTATTCTTTATACATACACTACATGAGATCTACATACATATAACATACATACATTATTTTATCTATCGACTATCTATCTATCTATTACAACACGAGTATTCACGACACACACAATTGTTCACCACAATACACGACACACACACACACACAACACAACAACACTAGCATATCATATTATATCTATATATAATATTATTTCTATTATAATATATATTATATTAATATAAGTTACTATACATATTTATATTTACATACTATATAATAATACTATATTTACTATTATATATTATTATATATAAGTATATATTATATAGTATATTGTATATTTATATAATTATATTATATATTTATAGTATATATATAATATATATAATATTATATATACTATTATAATATAGTATTATATATATACATATATATGAACTAGCATTAATATATATATTATAGTATTATATATTATTATATATATATATATTATAATATATATATATATTATATATGTATATATGATATTAGTATATATATATATATTTTTTTATGTTTATTCTTTATGTATATTATATATATATCTATATTTATATTATTATATCATATAATATATCTTAATATTTTACTTATATAATATTATATTATAATATATATATATATATTTATTATTATACCTAACATTATAATATAGTATATATATATATATACTATATTATATTTATATATAGATAATATAATATACTATATATAATAGTATGATATATTATATGTATATACCTATATATATAATACGGTATATATTATATATATTATATATAGTATATATATATATATTATAATATATATATATTATTATATTTTCTTCGTTTGTTTTCCTCTTTCTTTTCCTTCCATGTCCTTTACCCCTCGGACGTTTTTTCGCGCTTATCAGCCGTTTTGTTCTCCTATCTTTTGTTTTTGTTCTCTGTCGCGCTTCTTTTTCTTTCTTTTATCACTTTTTGTCCGGTTTGTATATATATATATAATATATATATAGGTTATATATAATATTATTATATATACTATATTATATTATATATATATATATATTATATATTTATATTATATTTATGCATCTGAAGGGTAATTGGACTTGTCTGTATTTCTATTTCAGGGAGTAATTTACTCAGTTATTGATGTGATTATTGTGAACATTTGTTTAATCATGACCGTTGTAACTAGGATCTAAGTGGATAAAAGATATTGCTTGGAGTACTGGTTCTATACCAAGGTATTTAGTTTTCCCATTGATTTCAACCTGCCGCTCAAGAAAACAGTTTAAAAAAAACGGCAAAATAAAGATTTAGAGAGAGAGAGAGAGAGAGAGAGAGAGAGAGAGAGAGAGAGATGAGAGAGAAGAGAGGATGAGAGAGAGAGAGAGAGAGAGAGAGAGGAGAGGAGAGAGAGAGAGAGAGATGAGAGGAAGAGAGTATAGACAAGGACAGACAAGACATACAGACAGGAGGACAGACAGAGCGAATGAAGGAATAGATTTGATAAGGCAGAAAAGTAAAAGAGTGAATAGAACAGGAGAGGAGAGAGCAAAAAAGATAATAGAGAGAGCGAAAGAAAGGAAATAGATACATAAGAGAGAGAAAGAAGATAACTATTCAGACCGCGAATAGACACAATAAACCTTTAGACACGAAAGGAGTGAAAAACTTTTACCAACATTCACTTTACTCCAATATATTTACCTTACCTTCCGAAATACATTCCCTTCATATATCCCTATCTATCGGGATAGGAAATAGACTTTTCTTCCTTCATGAAAATCTCCTCTGCACTGCCACGTCTCCGATTAGATTTATCCCTTCTGCTGTGCTCTTTTCTGGCGCGGCTGTAGGTGAAAA